GTTCAAACAAATTGATTGTCTCTGCCCCTCTGTTGCCGATGAGGATCTATCAACCACTTCTTCATGCGATCGTCAAACACAAAAATGTGAGTAGTACCTCACAACAATAGGGAATACCTTGACGAACTTAAAACGAATGATTAGTTGGATCAAGTTTTTCATCAAATCGGCATGGTAAGAAATCAAGAACCCAAAAAGTGAGTCACTTCAACATTCACACGTGGTCATGCTGACCGATTTATTGATCCATTTTGAGGCGAGTCACTTTCTTACTTGGCCAATCGAGGTCAAGTACCGCTGGGTTCGCTCCACCACCGTCCGTCTTCCCTATCTCTGTATTTCCCCAGACAGACTATGTATGACCGCACTCCCCTTCCTGAAAGTTGACTGTACATTTTTGTATTTTCGATAAATTGAAAAGGAAGTAAAAGGATATTTATTATCTATTATTATTCTCGTCTTCAGCTCACTCACTCAATGATCAAAGACATTACGTTCTTGATTATTGCCGGGAACGAACAGTCAAACCCTATCTCATCAAAAATTTCAATCTCGTTCGTTAATTTAATCATAAAGAGCTTCTATCGAGATATTAGTTCATGTTTAAACAGTCCCGAGGAGCTCATAATGAGAACACAAATTAGCAAACAAGCTCCTTTTCAGTGTGTTTTAATCCAAGCCATTGCAACACAATAAATATGAGAAGGACTTACAAAGAAAAAAGAGAGGGAAAGTAATTACCGTATTCAAGAGATTGTTTCAAAAGTGGTCCCCAATGGTCTCTTGCTCCGATGTTGCATGACAAGTAAGGCAACCCTGTAGAATTCTTGAATTCCATTGAGTTCTCTCCATGAGTATAGACACTAGCTCGGATCGGTGCTATTTATGATTCGAAGACTTTGATGATGTTGTTTGCGTCTGTGCTCTGGTCAAAGAGCACAAGACGATGAAGGAAGTGGTAATCAAAAGTTAGGACGCTGGTTATTGTGAAGACTGGGATCAGACAACCTCTCACAACAGAAACCGCGCTGACTGGGTGAGATGCAAGAACCGCTGGTAGAAATAGAACTATTCAGTAGAATCACCAAGACGAGTTTGACATGCATTTTAATCAAGCTACTGTCGCTGTGAAGGCTACAAACTGTTCTATCGCTTTTTATTGGTTTGGAGCAACATATTATTGGTTCACATCCTTGAGGATGTTTCGATTTCCCCTATGATGCAAAAGCAGTGAAGGCAACAGGTTAATCATTGACTATCTTCGAATGTAAACCACCTTTTCTCTCAAATGTTCGGTTTTACAGTACTATTAGGGCCCTTGTGATTTCTGGATTTTGATTTGGTTTACTTGATTTCGGTTTGATTTTGGATTGCATACTTTCTTTCCGGGTGCGCTGCAGTTGATTATGCACCACACAGTGACCTTGGGTGCCGAGGTTTACCCCTATAGTTGATGTATCCTGTGTCCACGAACTTCAAAGTTACGGTGGATAGATTTGTCGGTTTATTCATTCCGAAAGGAAAACATTGACCATTGTTTTGTAATCTAGTGGTCCTTACGTTGTGTGTACTCTGACATGAAGTGCAGGAATGACATGCAGCGCGAATGAATAAAATAACGCTCTCAATAATTGCAAAAACTTTAACGTCGCTAACATATGGAACTTGTTCCTGGACATCTTGGGTGCTAACTTTGCATCTTTCATACCAGAGTAATATACAGTATATCTGATTCACTTGTGAATGCTGGTTGCAGTGACTGCAATGAAGCCCCGATCGCCACGTAGTTCACCGTTTTACTTTAAATGGCAATGTCAGAAATGGAATTAATGTTATTATCACTTAAGCTGTCTCAGGTACCGTATTTAACGTACCCGTATCATTGTTTATCAGCAGTACATGAGTTCCGCGCAGTTCACACTTCAACCGCATTGAGAATGGGATTGGCACTGGGCAGTTGGGAGATTTAGTATCGGTTGTGGGCGGTTGGATTAATTGGCGAAATAACAGATTGATCCATCCGCGGTTTGGTTTTACATGGGCTTCACTTGATGGACTGGTGTCAACCATGATCTCAGGCTGGCCTAACTCACTGTACGTTCCGGTATAGTCACAATAAGCGACTAAGTGTTCCAAATCCTGCATGAAATTTATCTGTCCTGTTCGAACAAGACTTTTGACCAAAGCTAGACCAACATCATTCTCCGTATTAGCGTGTTGTAGTAGTTGTGTACACTTGAACCAACCATCCCCTGCTCGTTTGGCCTGCGCCAGTAGTCGTCGACATAGTTGTCCAGAATCAGAATGTGATATGATTTCCGACGCAAGGGCACTACGGTCCGCTTCATCTGTGTTTGCTTGATCTGTTGCCAGAACGAGAGATATCACATTGCGGGGGTTGTTTAGATACAAGGCCAGACGTGTCCGATAGCCACGGAAATAGGCTTGAATGCGTACGATGGCTATGAGAACATCAGGGTCCACGGGCTGATTCCATCTACTCAAGTCCGGTTGATCTGTGACGCTACAGTGTGATCAATTCAAAATGGAGGTTGAGGAGCTGTATGTCATACATTCAATCAAAAGCATAATAAGGTGTTTGCAGAATGAAATGGACACTCACAATTGTGATAACAAATCCTTGTGAGTGTCGACTAGGAAGTTGTGTGTAAGTAGAGGCTACTATATTGTGGTAACCTGACGAGTTACGACTGTGTTATTTAAAACAAGAAAAACTGAATTACAGTCAATACCCTGCATTGTCGCATTACTCGGAATTTGAAAAAATAAGGCAATTTCAGCAACTGCAACATATCATGTTAGTCAGCAGTATATGCTTTTAGGTAATATGAAAAATGGTATGAAATACATGTAATAAAACACACAGGATCTATGTATCTAAGAAATTAACATTTTTATGATAATTCGAGATTATTGGTATTGGTGGAAAGAGAGTTAGACATTGTTATATAATACGAAAAGATACAACCAGAAATGAATTCGAATAAAACGTAACCATGTCTAGCTCTCTTTCCATCATTGCTAATCGTTTTCCATTACGTAACTGTTTCTATGCTAACATTCACCTCCTCCTCTTTCACCTATACCCAAATGTCTTCGGTAATGACTCAACCACCTATTGCCTTCTGCTTGACCCCATGTAATTGTAAATGTCGATATATGGTATTTTTATGATAAAAAAATTGACCTATTTAATGTGCGTAGACAGCTGATTGAGAGCACGTGAAATTGATGGCCAATATCGATTCTGCTCATATTGTTGTTTTATTCAAATGGATCAAAGGGAAAGGATGTTTCCGCCAAAGAGATCGTTCTGTTTCTATTATACTGTTCACCACCACCAGAATCCTTGATTTTTGCCATTTTTGTTTCAGTGAGGTATTTTTCTTGCTTCATTACTTTCTGTCTGCGGAGATTCGAAGTTCAGTTGTTGTTTCATTCAAAAATTGCTATAAAGTGAAAACTGATGCTGTGGAGCAGACGGCGCATGATGACGTTTTCGAGAAATGCGATTAATGTTACTCAATATGGTCGTACCAATGGTAACGTCACCAAATTATATCCATGGAGGGAGTGTTTTCGAATCCAACCACCACCGTCTGGCTTTCCTCATGAGTTGTTGTATGACAACGCTTAGGTTGGCTACTGTTCTCTTCCTGTAAACGGTATCTTTGTATATTCACTTATTGAAGTAAAAATAAAAAAGTAAAATGACCGGTTGAACGTTCTAAGGGAATTGAATATCGCGTCCTCTTTTGTGTGAAACGACCATTATCGCGTGTGTTCTGGTCGCTTGAATAGCGAAATTAGTCTGCATCAGCATCATCCCTTACATAGACACATCCACTCAAAAGGTTATTGATATTCTGAAAATCAACTTTCTTTCTGGCAGTCACTTATACCATGCGGTATTAGCAGTATCATAGTGAATAAACATGCCGTCCGAGAAATCCCGAAAGGTATCCCACCAAAGCCAAAACAAACTTTGGAAGCCCTAAAGTCAACATGATACTTCTGTAGTGCTAACTCGATCTCCTTCTCACCATGGGTAACTCCAGTGGATTTTCCTTCATGACTGTAAATCGTTTCTCATCAACTGTCTGGAGATAGCTCGAGGAGTTTAAAGTGACATCCATTCTGAGCTGCGCCAATTTCGACAAAATCTCCGACAGCCTTCTCATTGGTATATAACCTCGCGTGTAGTCTTTCACAAAATGCCAAATCATTTGATAACAGAGGTCTGAGTAGAACCGAGCTGTTTCAGCACATCTAACAGTCTTTTCGTCTCTGATGAATGGGTGCTTGCTTATTGCCACGCCAAATGCCAATAAGTGGAGTTGATGACATGTGTGTGCGTTCCCCCTAATGGTGAACTGCGTCTTCTTGTGTGTCACACTCGGCGCGATGTCATTCTTCGGATGCGACAATGTACTGCGTTCGGTTATTGGCCAACCCGTACGTGTGTCAACGACAAATTCAGAAAGTATCGGGAAAGTTGACAAACTGAGTGAGCGGTTTGCATGATCAGGAAACGGTAATGAGTTGGCGTTTTGTTGGGGTCTGTTAAAGAGTGTAGACATATGGGAAAATGTGAACGCTCACAGATACGACTTATCAGGAAGTAATAAAACTGTTAGGGTAAAGTTATGCACACTTACGTTTTGGTGGATGGTACTGCCGTCTTCTCGACGCCTATAAAATGACAACAGATAGAACATAAGTGGTATTTATCAAAAAAGGGTAACTCATGTACATGAAAATTATTTCGATCATCGTCACATTAAAAAACAATGACCACTTGGTATTTTGATTAAGCGTAATTGAATTGCCCCGCTTTACCATTTATCATCCTAATGGCATCGCATTGTGATGCAGACTTGTAAACAGGACGGACGCGTATGATCAACGAAAATTTTGTGAGCCAAAGGTTAGAAAAAAATAATATGGAGATCACACAGTTTGGTGACAAAGGAATCCATGGGAAACGCGTCTGATGATGACTAAGCTACAATGACGAGCAATGGAATCTTTTATAAATAAACAGAGAAAGATGTTAGGGGCAATATAGCATAATGGGTATGGAAATCGATACACATCGTTCCATTTCAGATAGAATATTGCCCGGTCTCTAGCAGATAACTTGCAACAATAATTGGCGCCCGCAGCCAGAAACCCTATCCCATGAATTCTGCCTAAACATCAGCAATCTTCTTATAGAAATTACTGGAGGGTTCTTTCTTGGAGTTTGCATAATTACTCAGCATGTGACACATTTTCTAACAAACATATCTCCTTATAAGCAGGGAGTGATCATAACCTGATCCTGGTTGGACTTAAGACCTACTCACACTCAGGATAGTTTCAGAATAGTGGCTGACTGTTTTCTTCTCTGGACACAATTTTTTCGTTCAGTGAGACATCTCTAAAGAAAACTTATGCTGCTCACTCAACCGCCGAAGATGTCGAACGCAGCTGTATATAATGTCGGTTTGCTTAAGCGGGTCTTTGGCCAGTTTGAGTCAGTGCTTTTCCCCGTCTACTATCAGCAGACAGACATTATCAGACATTATCTTTTCCCCCGAAAAGGTAAAGGCTAAGCTCATGGCTTTAAAGAAGAACTCATCACCGGGTTTAGATAACATCCATT